TTCACGAACTCTACTGGCGATTTTAAGCCAATCCGATAATGATCCGTCAGCTTCAGTTCAGACGGTGCGTTCCGTCCCGTACTACAGACCTTCAGTCATGCCTATGTGACGTGTTGGTTCGGTTGTCAAACGTGTTAGCTTCGAATATCGGAGGTGCGGGATACATTTCCGGTTGAGGACAATCTTTGCTTCATTCAGAGATTCAGTTGAACAACGAGTCTGCTATACATTGCCTCAGGCCGGGAGTGCTCAGTCGGTGGGGCATCGAATTCAGAGCCGATAGGTCGAGGACAACGCGATGCACATGCCGTATGACAATAGACTCTTCTTTGAAAAAGAAGGCGCTCCTGGCTAATGGCACAGAAACGGAGGTCAGCATCGCACCATTACTCGTTTGCAGCGAATTCTAGGGTATTTAGAGATCGTCACGTCGATCATAGCAGCGAATTCGCTGACGAATTTCATCTGGATCGCCGCAAGAGTGACAGACTCCTCCAACCTTAAACTTCTTCATGTTAAAGTGGGCGTTCCCTCTTTTCGGTATTCTTCTCCAGTTGCTGCGCCATACCAAGGCATTAACCCAATAAGCAACTTTCCAACCACTAGGCAATGGTCAGTCCCGATCACTGCACCTCATTTTGTTCTAGTGTCGTGGCTGACACTTCGCCATTTGTCGCTCGTGGTACCTTCCGGGTTTGCTGACGATGCGGAAACGGTAACCGAGCAAACCCCGGGCAAACCCCCCCCCCAAAACACATGTGAGAAGTCATTTTTGAGCAGGGTCTGGACCATGAGAATGATTGTTTGTTCTATTCCTCTCCTTCTCTTTTCCTTTATTCGATTTTACAAATTCCATCATGGGTTACAATTCTTTTGAGATACTAGACTAGAGTTCAGCAAGATCGCTTTTGATGATCAGTGGGAAAACTCTATTCTTCAAACTGTTTTTGTCCATGGGGTGGCTTTTGTCCTAGAACCCATTTCATGACCATAGGTGAGCACTGAGGTAATAATCGACTTAATCGGCTTGAATAGAGACAGCCTTGACCCAGACTTAGCTCGGCCTTAGTTTGGACTAGTTTACGAAGAACGCTACTAGCCGTTTTAACTCATGGGTGGATCTCTTCATCCCATTTATCATCAGCAGTAAACATTACCCTGGGGTACGTGAACTTCTCAGTTCTCCATCTGTTTTACTACTTCTCCATTTATCTACAGAGTGCAACATTGGAATGTCTCTGTTTAACGGGATTTGTTACGAACTTACCTGCTATAAACAGGCAGTGAAATGACGCCACTTAGCAACAGATCATCAATAGCATTCATCTGCAAGTTTGCCGATAGCTTATTGTGCAAGCTTCGGTCATATGATTTCGCGATATCAGCAAAGTACATATCAACAGTAGGAGCAAAGACTCGCGGTCTCTCACAAATTTGACATGAAGCAAAGATCTGATCTGATTAGACACTGCGTTTCTACGATCTAAAAATAAGCTATTCCGCGGCATCAGTCGCACAGTATCTCTGAGTAGAGTTTTCCCGGAATGCTAAATAAAGTAACCTGCTTTTGAACTAAGACGTTGCTAGCCGAGTTGTTCAGTCCATTGCTGCCTTCCGTATAGTCATTGCAGTTTAACAGACAGTGTCAGCTAGAAGCGCGTTCTGTTCGCATGTAACTTTAAGCATTTCAGGATAGGTATCATTTGTTCCAACTGCCTAACAACTTTTCTAGCTTTTCCTTGCTTGAATGACGTTGCGGCTTGTCCGTCGGCACTCTCATAGTTTGTCACAATTTTCTGTTTGCAGTCGAAATTCCACTGAAGTGCCTCACCCAACGTTGCGGAAGAATCAGCTTTAGCCATGGCCTTGCTTGCTTCTATGAACCGCATTCGAATTAAACTCTTCCTAACCAATTCTTGAGTGCAAGTCTATGCTATTCCTTGCTGACATCCGGTCGAACCTATCTTATCCATTAGGACGATCGCTTTGACCATTAGCGGTGTTCCAACCCGTTTCAAACCGCAGTACTATGCAGCAGCCCTGAGTATGCCGCTCAGAAACAGATTGAACTCGGTTTGCAGAGCAGCAGGGATCTGCTCAAACGGTCGTAAGATGTTGCTGCAAGTATCGCGATAATATCTGCAGAAGATGATGTTTCCCTAAAGATGATGGTTGCCTTTCTTGTCAGGTCTTTGCATGATACACCGTCGTTGACAACGGGGAGGGGAGTTGCCAACAAGAATCGGTTGATATATCAGAGTCTCTGGTGATCAATTATGGAGAGTCGGCGCTACGATCATTGATTAGATCATTAACTTCATTGCACAAACTTCTTTATACCAGGCATACTGATGCCCGTTTCGATACCCGACGAAGGTGTTAATAACGGACAGCAGATTGTTTGCAGAGA